TATGTCCTGGGTTCAGTACTATTGAATATTTTCATTATTGACTTGACTCGAATGGAGTTGAGAGTTGTGACTATAGGCATCTCTGTATTCACAGCCTACACACTAGTGCAGTGATAGTTGTACAAAATATGCCTTGTGATGTATCATAAGAAAGCAGACATAGAATCATAGAATCCTAGGGCTGGAAGAGACCTCGAGGTCATTGAGTCCAGCCCCCTGCCCAAGGGCTTTGTCGTCAAGCAGAGACTTAAAAACCTCTACGGATGAAGATTCCACCACCTCCCTAGATAACCCCTTCCAGTGCTTCAACACCCTACTAGTGAAATGGTTTTTCCTAATATCCAACCTAGATCTCCCCCATTGTAGCTTGAGACCATTGCTCCTTGTTCTGCCATCTGTTACCACTGAGAACAGCCTCTCTCCTTCCTCTTTGGAACCTTCCTTCAGGAAGTTGAAGGCTGCTATGAAATCCCCTCTCACTCTTCTGCAGACTAAATAAGCCCAAATCCCTCAGCCTCTCCTTGTAGGTCATGTGCTCCAGCCCTCTAATCATTTTGGTTGCCCTCTACTGGACATTCTCTAATGCATCCACACCCTTTCTGTAGCGGGGGGCCCAAAACTAGTTGCAGTACTTCAGATTTTGCCTTACCAGTGCTGGATAAAGTAGAATGACAGTGCTGGTCATTGTCATTGTAAAATGTAAATGTTATATATGAATTATGAATTCCCTTTGTATGGTGTTGCTAATATGTGTAAGGCCACATAGCTTAGCCTAGGTAAAAATGATCTACAGGTCTGACCTAGACAAAGGAATATGTTTAAACAAAGCTATCAAGCTAAACCAGCAGGGCCAATTGTAATCCTGAACTTGAAATGCAGAGACTTCACAAGGCTCCTTTGTCCCAGAGAGATGCACAGAAGACTGAATCCCCAGAGCCCTTCCTGACTTGTATGACAAAAAATCCCTTTAAGGATATAGGCAGGGGGGATAGAGAGAGACTGAGAGACAGACTATCTTTATTCTCCACCTTAGGAGACAAAGAAACCAAGCAATTTGATTTGCCATAGCTCCTGGCTAAGCTGGTCGGTTAAAAGGTGGAAAGGAACCCGTGGGTGAAATAAACCATCTTGAAAAAAGACTGTACCTCACTAAATTAAATTTTAGTCTTTGGATGTATGTTTTCTCTTTTACTTGCTTGTGACATCACTATCTTCATTCCTTTTACTTAGTATTACTTAATCAGGGCTTTTTTGTTAATGAACTTTTTTACTTTCAACCAATTCAGTGCTTTGTTTGAAGGGAAGGCTATATTTAGAGTCCTGCATGGATACAAAATTGGGATTCACAGACACAAAAATTATCTGCAGATACAAAGCAGATATCTACAGATTTGCTGGGCTTTAGCTATATTTACCGTAATTAAATGAATAAGCAATGATGTCCTGAACAGTGAACCCATCATCTGGGAATGCATAAAACCTACCCAAGGAGCTTGGTAGACCTGGCGTTCACTGACTGTTACCTGCTAGGCAAAGTTTGGGCCAGGAGAGCCCCTAAGCAGGTTGCTGGTGAGGGAGATTGTGTGGCAGAGAACTGACACACAAGCTGATAACCAATACTTACTCTTGCTCAAGTAGAAAGGTAACTGTGGCACACGGCTGTTGCTATTCCCAGCAGCGTGATAAAAGAACATACTTAGATTTACAGATGATACCAACCTGGGTGGGTTTGGAGGCCTGGATTAGAATTCAGATGATCTTGATGAACTAGAGAAATGATCTGAAATTAAAAAAATGAAATTCAGTAACAAAAATGTAAAGTAGAAAAGAAAAATCAAATTCAAAATGCAGAACTGGCTAGGCAGCAGCACTGCAGAAGGGGATCTAACTGTTATAATGGATCACACATTTAATATGAGTGAATAATTTGATGCTGTTGTGAAAAGGTAAATAAAGCTTGGACAGGCAGCCTTCCTCAACAACTCTGGGAAATAGGGTTCTCCCTCACGACAGATGAAGAGCAGATTGTCCATCTGCTCCTGTCTCATGATAGGAGTAGTCCTCAGTCTCCAGCTGCTGAAGCTGCTTCTGCTTTTTAATAGTAGAACAGCCTAGTCCTGGAACCTTCCCTTTCCCTTCATTTGAATCATACATAAAGTCTGCTACAGACTTTGTACTGCAATCCCCATTTTATGGACTGCAGATGCAGAGACAATGACAGAAAGCAGGGAAGCTCTGACCTCCTGTGGTCCAGAAAACTTCCTGGTTCAGGAACACTCAGAGCCCGAAGGTACTGGACCAGGGAGGTCCAACCTGTACTCTCTTGTAAATGAACTCAGTCCCTCAAGCAAAACCATAGGTTCTACCTGTAGAGCAGAGTATTTGTTTCCATGTACACCAGAGCAACCTGTCCCTGAAGAGGCCAAGCTTATTGTGATGGGCTGGATCTAGGAATGTGAACAGGTAACTTGTTACCCAGTAAGCATCATCCTTTTAACAAATTTTTAAGACAAATTATTTTGTCCCATATCACTTTCTGCAGGAAAGGCCATATTTTATAAGATAATTAAGACAAAAGAGTCCATTGACATAAAAGGAGAGGTAAATTGTTATCTATGCAGTTATAGATACAAACCATTTAAATGTGGTGTGTTGCTTTGTGATATTTTTCACATGCTAAGAGGTGTTCGTTGTTCAAAGTTGGGAATATACATACACGTTTCAGGTTGAAATATTGGTGCATCTGGATCATGTAACTGAACACTCAGATGGCTTCGTTGCTCATGCAGTTACCTACTTTTCACATACAAAGTGAGGTTTGGAGGTGTATTTTTCAAAGGGCATCTGTTACCAATTTAATCCTAACGTTTTTTTGCAGTGTCTTCTGGCTTATGTTATTTTTCTCTTCCTTTTAACTACTTGCATTTGTTTTCACCCTTGTTTTAACCTTTGTTTTCTTCAGATCAGAAATGTTGAGACCAACCAATGTTTGGATAACATGGGCCGCAAGGAAAATGAAAAAGTGGGTATATTCAACTGCCATGGCATGGGAGGAAATCAGGTAAAATAAATCATTAGCTACATAGTAATTGGCTAAAGAATGAAGTTCTTTAATCTGTGGCTGTGGAAATTAGGGCACAACAATCATCTAAATAATATTAACAGCCTGATTTAAATTCACCAAACGTAATGCTGAAGCTAAAAAAGAGTCAAAGCTAAAATTTCACTCTTCAACACTTGTCTGCTGCTTTTTTGCTGATGCAGAGTGGGATGATAATTTTAAATGATGGTATTTAAATATGCATGCATCATGTGCACAGGGCAACAACTAATGTGTTTTGTCCCATGTACCTTTTGCTTCTGGCAGCACTGAAGCAGTTTCCTTTTATCTAATTGTGCTTTCATATTGCAGCAGAAATGTAGGAATTTTAGAATCACTTTATATTTAGAGGTTACAAAATAAAAACTATGGTTGCAATTATTGAGCAAAATAATGAAAGATTAAGGCAGTGTTTCAGGCTTACTTCTGATCTTCAGAACACTTCTGAATTTTAACAGTACTCAGAAGGCCTGTTTCACCAGTAATTTGTGTCAGTTCCAAAGCTTTAGCAGAGGCTAAGAGTTGAATGAACACGGAGAATGAAATACTCAAGAACTGGTCCTTCCAGGTAGGGTCAGGATTCAGGCAGGTTGTTTAGCTTTTGTGACTGATCATTGCACAGCTGCTGACTATATTTGATGAGTCAACTTGGCACCTGTCATAAGTAATAATTTTGCTTTATTATTGTTATTGTCATTGTTATTATTGCTATTAAGTTGTGATGATTGCTATGATAATCATTAATAATACTTGCCTATCTCACAGGAGGTAGCAGTCGCTCAAGTAGTCAGTTTTTCTCCTTTTTATTTAGGATTATTGCATTCCTTTCCCCAGCTATGTTTGTTGTTGCAGGTTATTGTTACATCTTATGAACTTGCACTGAGTTTTTGCAGTTGAACTCATAGCTTCAGTCATCGCAACTGTGCTTACCACTATGAGGGTATGTCTACACAGTAGGTCTAAAGCCAAAATAAGCTATGCAACCTGAGCTACATCAGTTGTGTAGCTTAAGTTGAAATAGCTAATTTCGGCTTTTGGTGTTGTCTACACAGCAGGAAGTACAAGAAAGAGCACTCTTCCTCCAACTTCTCTTACTCCTTGTAAAATGAGGATTACAGGAGTCAGAGTAAGAAGTCCTCCATAATTTTGACATTATATTGAAATAACTGCTTGAAGTGTAGACATAACACCACAGTGTACACATGCCCTGAGTGCTGCCCACTGGCATTCACATGGCTGGTAGTTGTGTTTGCTGGATTGGAATCTAATATTTTTCTTCAGACTCTGAGCTTCCCTGGGCTGGTGTCACAGTCCACTGAAGAATTCTCAAATCTGCAGATTATTTTTATCCGTCAAACATACACACTAGTGGCTTCCAAAATAAGCACAATAGATGCACATGCAGTGTGTGAATTCATCCATTGCACTTTCACATTTTGACATTGGCTTATGCAAATGAATTATCTTACATTTCTGGCATTAATTTTGATGTCTCAGTATGACCCGCTCATATTTGATATATATATAGGGATCCATTATCCTTCTGTGCTCATATATAACTCCTGTTATCACTAATGGGGATTCATAATGAGAAAGAGAAATAGGACAGAATGCAAGTGCTAGAGGGACTGATGGTATAGCTAACAAAATACAGCTATGAAATAGAACTGTTTCAGATTGAAAAGGATGTAAAAAATAATACCAGGTTCATTAGATGAACCTTTGGTCTGACCCAGTACGGCTGTTCTTATGTGCTTAACTGTTACATCTCAGAAGCATTTCAAGGGACTTGAAGGCTTAAGTATTAGAAAAGACCATATATTTTAACATTTCTTTTATGAAAAATGTATTTAAAGTATTTAAGAAAATTAGCTCTGGTGATTAAGAATCCATGTGTAGTACTGTGTGTTAGATTTTTTTGATGTATTCTGGGTTAAGAAATCATTGTCCTTCGTTTTAGCAATGTTGCCAGGATAAAATGCTTTGAGAGGCTTCATGGTTATGCAGACCTGTGCAATTCAGATAACTGCTCACCACCAATTGAGATGCATTGATAAGTTAACAACTAACTGCTTTTTTTTTAAAAAAAAAAAGCTACAAATTGTACAGTACAACTTACTGCAACTTTTAAAACTGGCCTCTGTGCAAAGGAAAATCTTCCTATGACCCAGAGGCCAAATACTTCCATCCGTTGTGGGGACGTGGCTTTCAATAGTCAATAGATTTTGTGTACTTGTATCTGAGTGGAAAGAACATATATGCCTTGATGTGGACACAGCAGCAAAATGACAGATGCATACACATGTAACCCACATATTGTCTGGGTGTGGTATATTGTCCATTTTAATGGCACCTAGACCACTTACAGAGAGAATGAGTTAGCTCTACAGCCTTAGCTAATAGCCAGGTGGCTTTTAGTTCATATAATAGAAGCTCATGCACTAAGCTCTAGATGACTAGGGTCTGCTAGCATAACACATGGAATTAGATGGCAGGCCACAACTTTTATTATACTTTATAACAGAGGGAGGGGTTCCACCTCCCCATCACCCATCCTTTTTTCTATCAGACATTTAATTGGTTCCAGTGTATGGGTTACAGGGCTCCTTACCATAGGAAGCCATAGCTCATTCAGGGGTTACAGGGCGCTGTACCATATAACCCATAACATGGGATAGGATATCTGCAGACTACCTTCCCTGTCAAAACTCAGCTCTTTCTGAATCTTAGCACCTTCCCCTCTGTGAAGGAGACAAAGAGTGCAGCAGGGTGAGGCCTCAGCTTGCAAGAGCCAAATAGTCCCAACCTGTCACATGAGTCCAAGACCCATTATAAAAATTCTAGCTTTTTATCATTTAGAAACAGTTTGTTTTATTCTCTTATGCAGCCAATTTCCAGTGCAGCTGCAGAGACAAATCAGCTGTTCCACTTCAGTAACTTAGCATGTTTCTGTTTAACTCATCATGGCCTGAAGGTGCTTCAAGGAAGGCATTAACTCTCAGGTCTTCTGCCAGTTTGCCCAAGGGAGAAAAAATGTCTTCCTGACCTCCTAAGCAGACGATTGGCTAGACCCTGCAGGATCTGTCAGGCTGGGTCTCCATTCCTAATTCAAGCGTGTAGAGTGGACTGCTGGAATGTAGCTGAAAAAGATTCCACATGGCCCCTGTGCTGATCTAAATCCTGGGGTCTCAGGAATGCTAGCTAATCAGCACCTCTTTCACTCAGTGGGTGCCAGAGCCTCACAAGGGGAGGAACTGCCTGTTGTCCCTTGGCTAATATCATCTTTACTGCTGGGACTGTTTCCCTTTCACTGCCAGACCCATCAAATTTCCTCACCCATTGGTGCTTGAGCTGGGGGAGGAGAGGGATAGAGGGCAATTAAAGATGTACCTGCAGATAGATTTTTGATTAAATGGAACATTAGCAATAAGTGAGTCATTATTAATGCTTACCAACATCAAACATTAGGTAAAGCTTCATTATCAATCCACTTTTGCAAGAGCTGACTTCTAGGATTTTTGTTATTTTAGTTGAAATCAGTTGATTTTACTGGTCATTAGGGTAAGTCTACACAGCTGGGCTTAACTCGAAATCAGCTCAAAATAGCAAATTGAGCTATGTCAATTGCGTAGCTTATTTCAAAATAGGGAGCATCAACACAGCACTTATTTCGAAATAGAGCACTCTTCCTCCGATTTCCCTTATTCCTCGTACAAAGAGGGTTACTGGAGTCAGAGTAAGAAGTCCTCCAGCTTGACAGAATTTTGACATTATTTCGAAATAACTGCCTGCTGTGTAGATGTGGACTGAGTTATTTTGGAATGGTGCTAATTATTTCAAAATAGTGTTGCAGTGTAGATGTGCCCTTAGAGAATTACTCAGCCGAATGGTTTGTCTGCCTGTAATAATCTCCAAAAGCATCATGGCTACTCTTTTATTATGTTACCATGAAATAACTTCTGTTACTGTGGTTATTCAGAAATAGAACCTTTGCTCATAACCGTAATCTAATCGTACTCTTATTCACACATAAGGAAAAGAAATAAAAGAAGTCTGAACTGAGATTAATGCAAGTGTACAATTGCCACTGCTACGTGCTAGCTTTACCAAAAGAAGCTGTCTTTTTGAACATTAACATTTATTAATATGGACACTCTGTGTTAATAGATGGGAAATGTCTACCTTAGCCACACAGATTTATAAGAAAAGCAAGAGTGCATAACCAATCACTCTTTTTTCCTCTTATAAAGGTAAATTAAATAAACAAAAAAAGCTTGAATTTCGTAAAAACATAAGAATGGCCATACTGGGTCAGACCAGAGGTCCATCTAATCTAGTATCCTGTCTGTCGACCGTGGTCAATGCCAGGTGCCCCAGAGCGAATGAACAGAACAAGTGATCTCTCACCCCTTCCCAACCTCTGACAAACAGAGTAGGGACACCATTTCTGCCCATCCTGGATAATAAACATTGATGAACCTAACCCCATGAATTTATCTAGTTCTGTCTTGAACCCCATTAAAGTATTGGTCTTCACAACATCCTCTTATATTCTTATGGCATTCGTTGCAATATCTCTTTTGGTCTTATTCTTTCTAGGAGGGGGGTGGTTTGTAAGGTGGACTACAGTGTTGGGGAACTGGTTCCATGCCATACCAATCATATGAGTCCTCAGTTACCCCCAGCTTGCTTAATTATCAAGCATCTCTCCTCAAGTCCTTTCCCCAAGCCATTTATCTGTTACTTTGTGGCTTTTTTGTGGGGTACGTGCACTGAAAATCCACCACAAGGAGGCGCCAGCCATACGTTTGGTTGCTTCCTCTTCACATGCATCCAGATGCTCAAACATCTCTCAATGCCCTTTTTGATATGACAGCACCTGAATCTGACTGTTGCACACCAATATCCCAAAATAATTATGGCACCCTTAGACCTTGCTAGAATGTAACAGTTACTATCCC